AAATCCATGGAAAAAAAATCAAACATGAAATTTGGTGGTTCTAGAGCAAAGAAAATAGGAGTGAAATGAATTTATAAAACCAAGCTAAATGAGTCTGGAGAAGTTGATAAATACAAAGCAAGATTAGTTGTAAAAGGCTACACACAAGAGCATGGAATTGATTATACGAAAGTGTACGCACCTGTGGCCAGAATGGATACTGTGAGAATGATCATTGCTTTTGCAGCCCAAAAAGGTTGGAAACTCTATTAGTTAGATGTCAAATTAGCTTTTTTATATGGGAGTTAAAAGAAGATATTTTTGTTGAACAACCAAAAGGCTATGAGAAAAAGGGAAGTGAGGAGATGGTGTTCAAACTCCAAAAGGCTCTCTATGGATTAAAAGAAGCTCCAAGAACCTGGTTTAGTTGAATAGAATCCTACTTCATCAAGGAAGGATTTAAAAGTAGTTCCAGTGAGTAGACACTTTTCATTAAGAAAAAGGAAGGTAAAATTCTTATGGTAAACATTTATGTTGATGATCTTTTATTTACGGGAGACGATGAAGAATTATTGGAGGAGTTTAAACGTTCCATGAAGAAAGAGTTTGATATGACTGACTTATGTCAAATGTGATTTTTTTCTTGGAATAGAGGTAATTCAAAGATTAGATGGTATTTATATATGTCAAAGAAAGTATTGTAATGGAGTTTTAAATCGATTTGACATAGAGAATTACAATTCTGTTTGTAATTCCATTGTTCTAGGACAGAAAATTGGCAAAGATGAAAATGATGCAAAAGTAGATGTATCTTATAGCTACTCGTCCTAATTTCAGGTTTGTTGTAAGTTTGATTAGTCGTTTTATGGCATGTACAACACAACAACATTTTGCAGCAACTAAAAGGGTTTTAAGGTACTTGAAAGGTATGGTAGATTATGGTGTATTTTATAGAAAATGAGGAGTTAGTGATTTAATTGGATTTACTGATAGTGACTATGTCGGAGACATGGAAGATAGCAAGAGAACTTTAGGCTATGTGTTTATGATGAGTGGAGGAACAGTAGCTTGGTCTTCTCGTAAGCAGCCTATCGTCATCTTATCAACCACAGAAGCTGAGTTTGTTGTTGCTAGTGCCTATGCATGTCAAGCTGTTTAGATGAGGAGGATACTCAAAGAGATTGGTCACTCTCAAATAAAATGTACAAAGCTAATGTGTGATAATACTTCAACTATTAAGCTATCCAAAAATCCAGTTCTACATGGACGTTCCAAACACATAAAAGTAAGATTTCACTTTCTTAGAGATCTTACAAAAGAAGAAACTGTTAATTTATTATTTTGTGATACTGGAAATCAACTTGCTGATTTGTTGACAAAGCCTCTAAAATTAAAAGCATTTCGGGAGTTGCATGAATAACTTGGTAGGTAGAGTTTTTATGACTTGAACTAATTCTGACAAGGTCAAAATAGTGAGTATTTTTAGATATTTAGTTTAAATTTTTCAAAGATGTGTTTCCGAGATTTGTTGTTAGTTTCTATTTGTAGTTATTTGTAAAGCTATGAAAGCGAAATTTAGTATTAAAAAATATTATCACTTCAAATTTCCATCATTTATGTTATTCTTTTGTCAGAATCTAACGTGGGCTAAGTTTGCGAGAGCTTGGATCATGGGCTACGAGTTGGGGCATTTGGTGGTCAACATATGTAAAGTGTGGCTGATGGCGTCCACAACAGATGTAGAGGGAAGGATAGCACACGGGTCCTAAGCCAAAGAGACGTGACTTGGGAATTGGAGGTGACTTAAGGCCATAGAAGGAGGCTCAAGGAAGCATTGCGATTCGAGAGAGAGATTTGCCAAGGAAGAACAATGATCTTATTTCTCAACCAAATTGCTTGGTTCTTGTCTATGTTGGACGATGGAAGTCCCACATCGGCTAATTTAGGGAATGCTCATCGGTTTATAAGTGAGAAATACTAACTCCATTGGTATAAGGCATTTTGGGGAAGCCTAAAGCAAAGCCATGAGAGCTTATGCTCAAAGTGGACAATATCATACCAGTGTGGAGAGTCGTGTTCGTCTAACAGTCTCAATAGGATCTATGAGTTTATAGAAGAGATCATGAGCTATCAAAGTCAGAATCAAAAGTTGGACAAAGCGAGGAGAGAGAGAGACTCGTAGGTAAAAAGTTTAAAACCTAGGTAAAAAGTTTAAAACCCATGAAATTTGAATGACGAAAGTAAGCCAGCCGGGAGAACCCATGAAATTTGAATGCTCATAACTTAACGAAAGTAAGCCAGCCGGGAGAGATTTTCTGGAAAAAGGGGTAGAAGAAGAGGGAAAAAAAACAAAAAAGTCAAAAGTGACGGTATCAACCGTCGACCTTTTGACCTTTTTTTTTATTTTTTTTTATTTATTAAGCCTCTCTTAGTCCATTTTGAGTTGTTTTTACCAATTTTATTCTTCAAATTTTTGTGAAGACTTGAACTCGAGCAAAAATTGTTGCGTATTCGAAGTGGTATCTCAGAACTTCGAGAAGTTCTGATTAAGTTATGCTCGTAGTATGCATGATATAAGATTCTGATTAAGTTATGCTCGTAGTATGCATGATATAAGATTCTGATTAAGTTATGCTCGTAGTATGCATGATATAAGAAGCATGTTATATAAATTTGAGCCTGGATTGAGTTGATTTGATGTATAAAAAAGTATATTAAACGTTCCAGTATACGTTTCCCAAGAAATGATCCATTGAACTCTAATTTGAATGGAACTCTAATTAGTATGATCAATAACATGTTATAGGAAACATATTATCAAGATTGGAGCATGGAGGGAGTTAATTTGAAGTATGTAAAAGCACATTAAACGTTATGCTGCACATTTTCTTTTTTTATAAAGGCATGAGTTGAACTCTGATTTGAGCGAAATTGAAGTTATGACTAGGTATCCATGTTTAGGTCGCTATATTATTTCTCTATTGTATATGTATTGTGATTTTAGCGATTATATGGGGAGGATTAATGGTTTACCAACTAGCCCTTAATTGTAAACCTGACTCAGCGATTATATGGGGAGGATTAATGGTTTACCAACTAGCCCTTAATTGTAAACCTGACTCAATTATCAGAGATCTGGCTAACTATAGAACATGTTAGTCAGAGATCTGGATAACTATAGAACATGTTAGTCAGAGATCTGGATAACTATAGAACATGTTAGTCAGAGATCTAGATAACTATAGAACATGTTAGGATTAATGGTTTACCAACTAGCCCTTAAGGGCAAAACCTGACTCAATCATCAGAGATTTGGATAACTATAGAACATGCTTACAATATCTTATAATGTATGATTTTTCCTCTATGGGGATTATTAGGAAGCTTGCGAGTTAGCTTTCCTTTAGTGAACCTGTCATGAGTGGCATAGAACATGCTTACAATATCTTATAATGTATGATTTTTCCTCTATGGGGATTATTAGGAAGCTTGCGAGTTAGCTTTCCTTTAGTGAACCTGTCATGAGTGGCAGGAGCTCACAGTTGTACCTTAGAGTTGGTCAATCTTGAAACATTTGATTCAATCTTGAAACATTTGATTATTATTCATCCAGTGAGTTGCTGGTTATACAGGGATGATAAGAGGTTTGTCAACTAACTCTTAATCGTAAACTTGACTCGATTGTCAAGCATTCGAATAACTATAGAACTGGTCTATGACGTCTTATGTTGTGTGATTATACTCTATGAGGACTACTAGGAAGTTTACCGGTTAGTTTCATTTTAGTGAACTTGTCACGAGCAGTATGGGTCCATAGTAGTACCCTTGAGAGTTAGCCAAATCTTATAATGCATGAACCCTATAAGACTAATACGAAGGTCACACCTCAAGGGCCTAAGATGCAAGTCTAGAATTAGATGGTGGAATAAACTAAGAACCCAAAAGAAATTTCGAGGGTTGGAGATTCAAATTAGACGAAAAAGTAAGAACTTGGACTAGTATTTGCTAAATTTTCCTAAATTGAACGAAGGTGGAATAAACTAACTTAGATTATAGCTTAGGAAGAACTTACTCCCAGAAATAAACTCTTAAAAGACATAACAAGACATTGAATGAATAAAATTCATTTTATTAGACTTAGAATGAATAATGAGTTGCCAACAAGTTGCTTACGGAGTATATTTTATATACTCAACCCTACTGTTTCAATTTTTTTTTTCAGGTAGAGCTTAATGTAGCGGTTGAGGCAGAGGCACACATGGACTGTCGGCCATAGGGAGTCCCATCAAACTTGAGTCTAGATTTTATTTTCTACTTGTTCTTTAAATCCTCTATTTTGTGTATTTTAAATAGTTTAAACTTGGAGCAGTGTATTTTTTATATGGTCCCATCTTTTGTAAAATCACAATTTCATTACAAAAATGTATTTTAAATTTTACACATTTTTACTTATTTCTATGTCACTAAGTAACGGGTCCTCCGAAAAGTAGATCATTATTGTTCGAGTCGAGACGGGTGGGCTTTGGAGTTTGGGCCGAGGGTTGTTACAAAAGGTAATGGTCACGTAGTATTAAGTTGGATGTGGGAAGCGACATGCCAACCTCATCAATTACCTAAAGTACGACATGTGACTGAAAAATGGAAATGGAAGAAAATAGAAAGTGCCATAAATGTCCCTATTCACCCACCATCCAAACATCCAATTTCTCCTTTTCTACGTCCACGGTGTCAATTACACTACACGCCAAAAAAATTCATTCAAAATTATCCTAATAAACATCCTCCTTTTTTATTTCTTCCATTCTTTTAAATATATAGTTTATTGAAGATATTTAATGTTTAGTATAAAATATTGTTGAATGAATTTAATATATAGTTTCTTAAATTTACATCTAAGTAAATTTTATTGTTTATTATCATATGAAATTAAATGATATTTTGATATAAAAGATTAGGATAAAAGTTAATGTCCAAATATTTGATCTTTGTAATATAGTAAATATGCATAGCCAAAATTTATTTAATTATAAGTCAATGAGAGGCTCAATTATTATCCCACAAACCCTTTCTAGCTCTCAACAAAATGACCGACCCGGCAAAGGAGTCCTCTGCAATTTCCGGCGAGAAAACTCCGGCGGATTCCGGTCCTCCAATCAACCCCAAGCGAAATAACTATGCTATTGCTTGTGCAACCATGGCTTCCATGGCTTCCGTCCTGCTCGGCTACGGTCAGTTTTTTTTTTTTTTTTCTTTTTTTCCACAGATTATTTCTTGAAAATTTTGAGTTATGGATTTGAAACAGATGTTGGTGTGATGAGTGGAGCGGTGATTTTCATTAAGAAGGATTTTGGGATCTCCGACGTGAAGGTGGAGATTCTTGTTGGGATTATAAGTTTGTACTCTATTTTTGGCGCTGCTGCCGCCGGGAGAATCTCCGATTGGATTGGCCGCCGTTACACCATGGCTCTCGCCGCCGGATTCTTCTTTTTCGGAGCTGTTCTAATGGGTTTCGCCACTAACTACTCGTTTCTCATGTTTGGCCGATTCGTCGCCGGCGTTGGAACTGGATTCGCCGGTTTGATTGCTTCTGTTTACACTGCTGAGATTTCTCCGGCGTCCACTCGCGGTTGCCTCACCTCTTTCCCGGAGGTCCATCGCTATCGACTTTACACCTCTTGTCCTTTTTTGTTTTTTTTTTTTAATGATAAACTTTGAAAAATATTTCATCTATTTATTTTTCAAAAAAAAAAAAAAAAAATCTATTTAATTAGTTTCTATGTTTAAAATTGAATTTTGTAGCTCTAAAATTTTCAAAATATAGAGAAATAATAGAAAAGCTTTTAGTATATATTATGGAATCTTTCCATATACCATGTTATTAAATTATATATTATTAAACTATATACTAGGAACGCATATGTCACATTTATTATTATTATTTTTTTTATTTTTTTGTTTACATTTTGAAATATTATTAAGAGATATATTATATTTAATAAATGTCATAACTTTTAAATTTATATTTATTTGATACGAGTTTTCGAAAGTATTTTAAAACTTTTGTAATAGGTTGATTTATTCAACCTTCAAGATTTTTGAAAGACTTATTATACATATGATTTAATTTTATATTTAATTAAAACTCAATTAATAAAAATATTCATAAACTTTCAAATATTTTAATAATATTTATAAATTTTTTTAAAAAAATTTAAAAATTATAGAAATCATTAATCCTTTATTTTAAAAATATCCTTAAAAAAATATTTCAAATTTTTTATATTAAACTTTTTATCTAACTTCAAAAATACTTTTAAATTTTTTTAAAAATTGTTAAAATATTATTATCATTAGTACTGCATTTTCAAAAATATTTAAAAGATTTTCTTCGTATATTAATAATAAAAAAGAATAATTTTTTTTAAAAAAATATAAAAGTATTGATACTTCTTTTAAACGTAGTACTAAACATTTGAAATTTTTTTAAAAATTAAAATGTATTAATAAATATTATTTTAAACACTAACAAAAATTTAATAATATTTTTGAAACAAAATACAAAGATATTTAAATATATATATATATATATATATATATATATATATTTATTTATTAATTTAATCTTAAATAAAATAGTTAATTAAATAGTACTGACAAATTTCCCTGACTTAACAATGAACACATGTTGCCTTTTTTTCCATTTACAGGTTTTCATTAATTTCGGGATATTGTTAGGATACGTTTCCAATTTGGCCTTCTCCAACCTCCCTACTCACTTGAGCTGGCGATTCATGCTCGGAATCGGCATAATCCCCTCCGCTTTTTTAGTAATAATCGTCCTAGCAATGCCCGAATCGCCACGCTGGCTCGTCATGCAAGGCAGAATCCTTGAAGCTAACCGAGTCCTCGACAAAGTCTCAATCTCCCTCCAAGAATCGCAACAAAGACTCGCCGACATCAAAATCGCCGCCGGAATTCACCCAAACGTCACAGACGACGTCGTTCCACCGCCCCAGCCACAAAAACTCGTCTGGAGAGAACTCTTCCTCCACCCAACGCCGGCCGTCCGCCACATCTTAATCGCCGCCATCGGACTCCACTTCTTCCAGCAAGCCTCCGGCATAGACGGCGTCGTTCTTTACAGCCCGAGAATCTTCGAGAAAGCCGGAATCACCTCTTCCAGTCATATACTACTCGCCACCGTCGCCGTCGGAATCGTCAAAACGTGCTCCATCTTAATCGCCACGTTCCTCATCGACCGGATCGGACGGCGGCCGTTGATCCTCACCAGTGTGGCCGGCAAGGCAGTTTCACTGACAATGTTAGCGACGAGCCTGACAATCATCAACAACTCGCACGAGAAGGTGAAGTGGGCCATAGTGGTTTGCATAGCTACGATTCTGGCTGACGTGGCATTTTTCTCAATCGGATTGGGGCCCATGGTGTTTGTTTACAGCTCAGAGATATTCCCGTTGAGGCTCCGCGCACAAGGGGTGAGCGTGGGTATAATCGTAAATAGGATTACGAGTGCGGTTGTGACAATGACGTTTTTGTCCCTGTACCGTGCGATTACCATCGGTGGCGCGTTTTTCTTATACGCCGGGATTACGGCGGTGGGTTGGCTGTTCTTTTACCTGGTATTCCCGGAAACGAGAGGTCGTAATTTGGAGGATGTTGAGGGGGTTTTTGGTAATATTATGTGCAGGTCGAAGAAAAATAGGGGTGGAAGTGGAAGGATGAGCAGTGGAGGTGGGGCATCCAATAATTAGTATATGATAACATTCTTATTAAGTTGATTAATCCATATATCTTTTCCAATTATTAGGTTTAATTTCTGAATGCTATGTACTAGGAATACCCAACATGTGTGTTAACGTTATTGGGACAAATTATCTTAAATAGGATTTGTTTTTAGTTCCATCTTTGGATGAGTGACTCTTTAACTCCTGATCTCTTAACCCCCGGTCTCTTGGTCGAAAAGACCCCTGCTCTCTTGGTCATCTCTTAGTCGAAAACACATAACTTTGGACCCTGCCCTCTTGGTCATCTCTTAGTCGAAAAGACATAATTTTGATTTTTTTTGTTGTCGTATTGGTCATGATCAATGTATACCACATAAAATTTTGATTTAGTTTTTTGGTCCTTAAACTTAAATTAATTAAATTTAGTCTTTAATTAATTAAGAATTCTAACGTTTTGATGTGATCATAGTGTAAAGTTCAGAATTTAATGCCTATTGATTGAAGTATGGCTAAAACAAAGTGGAATGAAAATAATTGAACCATAATGTAGTATGAACCATTTAAAGGATGACACGTGGAGTCTTGGAGGAGAGATGTTTTAAAATATCAGATTGCTGGACTTTTTCTTTTACCTCGATTGGATGATCCAAATTAAATTCTGATTTTTGCCAATTTTTCTGACAATTATTATAACTTTCAGTCCTCTAAATAGCTTAAAGCCTTTATTACTGGTCTATCAAAACTCTCCATTTTAAACTGGTAAACCCAGTGTAGTAATTGGGCTCTAATTTGTAATAAGAATCTAGAAATATTTTAATAAAATTTTCAAGTGGCGATTGAGATGTGAGGTAGGTTGAGTTTGCAATGTATGGCATGTTTTAAATTGTTCTTAATTGTTTATTGTGTGAAAACCTAATAACTTAAAAACTAACCTGTCACCTATAAGGCTTGGAATTGAATTATGATATTAGGTAAATATCCTTTTTTTTTTTTTTTTTTCATTTATTTT